ATTTGAAAATCTGACTTTGGCAATTTGAATTCGATATGTTTAGATAATATCATACGTATCAGGAAACTTTGCAGCTAGTATAAGTTTATCCACATATCTCTGTAAGTGAAACATTTATGATATGAAATCACTTACATGGAAATATTTATAAAACATTTTAAAACAGGTTTAGGGGGATTTTATTCATCTTTAGAACTATTTAGGCGGCCTTTAATTAATGTTTAAAATTTAAAAAGCTTCGTTTTAAATGTTCGTTCTGATAGTTTTTCTGGACTATAAGGCTGCATCGGGATTTCTATGATAGATAGGCTTTTCGGAAAATTTCCAGCGGTATTGGTTTCCATTTCTCTTCCATAACATCCAAAGTCAATCAGTCGTGGTGGGTTTGCGCTTAGAAACAGATCTTTTCCAGAAACCAAAGGCACAATATTCCACAGGTGAAACCTCAAAGGACTTTGCAGGAATATGTTGGAAAAGTACATATGCAGCAGCAGTGCAGTTGTTTGCAGCAGTTTTTCATTTTTCAACGAAAGCAGTGGTACAGTTTGAAGTATGACTTATTGCTCTGTCCAGATGAAGTTTCAAACTTTGAAAGTTATTGGATAAAGAAATGAATTTCTTATGCAAAAATAGGACGTAAAACTTTCCCTTGATAGTACGTTGAGTTGTTTTAATTTTTTTTTTTTCAGTTCTTATTTTTAATTTCCCAGAAGATTTCATTTTTAATTTCCCAGTGTAAGAGAATTCCAAGACAGCCATAAATCCTTTTGCTTTCACAGAACCGGATTTGAAATTTTTTTTTTCGATAACAAACAGAGCCTTTCTTGTTTCAGTCATTTAGGTTAGCCCATGCTTCATCAAGGGTCAGAATATATTTCCATTTCTCCAGCTAAATAGTTTTCATACAGAGTTTTACAAATTGTCCTATGTTTAGCCACATGGCTGGGCAAAAGATGGCGAACATTACGTTTATTAGTATTTTTATGTTATAAATTTTGGTTTATTACCTTATTTAGAGTTGCGAAATAGATCTGTAACGCCTCCCAGCCGGCATATTGGTTACTGACCCTGACTGCCGTAGCGTTGGGGTTCGAATACCAGAGAAAGCATGGTTTTAATAGTTTGTCCGTTCATAGGAGGCAACGGTGGCCACCTATTAGGTGCTTCCATAACAGTTTCCGCCATTTGTAGCGGAGCAAGGCTAAAGCGCCGTTCCCACTGGGGTTTATCTGAGCTAACGTAGTCGGCTCCATGTGTCGACTAGCTCCGCTGTGCCTGCAGTTCAGATTTTTCAACTTGCTGCCCTATGGGGAAAAACTGGTTTTGCAGATGGGTCGAGTACGTTAGTTGTGTTCGTTAGCTCAGATAAACCCCAGTGGGAACGGCCTTTTAGTAGCTATTAAATAAAGCGCTCAGACATTTTTTTAAATAATCTCTAGCAACTATAAATACATTCGCAACTATAAGGCTAAGCAACTGATTTCTTCACTGGCGGACGTTCTTTTGTTACCAAATATTTAACTTTAGAAATACTATAAACAGTATATACCATTTCCGAGAATTCGTTTGGAGTTTTCTTTTCCATGGAATGAGTTATTAATGCGTTTGGAATGAATTATTGATTGTTTTTCTCTTTCCGATTAGCAATTATGCTTAGTTTGCACATAGAAATTTTAATGCCATGCGTTTTCAGATGTTCTTTTGTTGTGCAATGAGAATATTTCTCTTTGGAAAGGGCAAAAACATATCCTTCCATCCATAGGCTTCTTTATACGACATTTTGAAAGAAGAATACATTTTTTAAAGCTTCAGATGATATTTCTTGTTTCAAATAGCAATCTGTTGTCAGAAATGTTTATTCCAACACATTTGCTTTATTTAATTCTTTATCGAAATCCTTCTAAAAATGTGTAAGCATCCTTTGTATGCATAGTTACAATAGCAACTTTTTCTATCTTTCTAAGTTACTGTTATTCGCTAGGCGAACAAAGCAAAAAAACACATCGATAATGACATAACAAAGATATAATATGATCTATGACCATTATGACTGCTAAACGAATATGCCATTTGCACTGTAAGCGATCCTTTCTGTAATGGATAGGCTGCATTGCATTATGTTATTTTCCCTAGGAATGGAAGTAATGCAGTATTTAACTCATAGGAAACACATACCATCGTTGTGGTATATAAACAAAGGGCATACGTTCTCGATACAAAAGACATTATGCCAAATATAACACAAGCTTTAAGTGAGGGCTTTAAGTCTTTTAACTGTTCCAGCGTGAATTAATCTCAATCCATTGTTCTATATAATTGTGTGCCCCATCTATCTGAATGAAGCATTTTTAAAAAAAATATAATTATCTTATTATACTAAAAATTCATTTAACTCCGTGTTGTTACCATAATCAGTCACGTAATTAAGGATTTTTCGAGGTAATATAAAAGTTTGTAAAAGCAAGATCACATCGCTGAATGCAACGACCGGGTCAACAAAGCTCATTTTTAATCAAGGCAATTCATCATTCAGGTCAACTGGCCAATGTGATTCTGAAGTAAATTTAAGGAGACTTTTTTTTTTTACAAAAAATTTTTACCTAATGTTTTCGAGCCAAGACAGCTTTGATTTCTTTGGCTAGATCTACTTGGTTACATTTGAATTCAGATTCTTTAAAAACTTATTCTTTTCAACTAATCCTTAAAATTTCTTCAAACAACATGCCTAACATTCATAGCGGTAGCGCAAACTAAAACAATGTGTGGATATTGTAATAAACGGTACGTACTTTTAGAAAATTTTCTGTAACTTGCTTTGCGTATTTAACTTGAATATTGCGTGCCTAATTGCTTAATCATGGCGTATTGGTAATTTAGAGGGTAATATTAAAACTCTCGAGACAGAGTATGGCTCGGCAGGGACCGTACTGCTACTGCCTTGTCTACCCTTGTTCTGTGGGGTCGCCAGACGGTCGATGTCGTCAGTGGACGGTTCGGCACTAATTCCGATCGGGAACTTGCACCGTAGGATGGAAGCTGTCTCGCTCCGAGAGTTGTGTCCTCGTCCAAGTGGACACAAACAACTGGTCGTCTTGCATGCAGACATTGTGTAAGCCTGTTCGCAATATAATAGCTGAGATTGCTGTTAATGTTGCCAATAAATGATCTGCCATGAGCTGAGTCACAGTAATGTGCCTCAGCTCATGGCAGTAGAAGCGAGGTAATGTTACACCTCCTTCGGCCGAAAGAGCTAAGTAAAAGTCTCCCGCAGGTATTGTAACTTTAGGTCTGCCTGGAGTATGTCTTCTAGACACAAAATCCTTGGATTCAAACTGATTCCATAGTCGGTGGACCACACTACGAGAGACATTGAGACGTCTAGCGGCATCATCTTGTTACATCCCCATTTCCATTCGATCGCCCGCCACCTCAGCGAATCGGGCAAACGACTTGTCCTGGACATATTAAACTTTCCTGAATATTGTCCACGAAACTGTAACAACAACTGAAGATCAACACTCGTGAAAAAAAATTACAATTTTTGCATTTTTTCAACAACTTCTATATAAGTATTCATCAAAAGTAGTAGCTATTGTTTTTGTACATATTTTTTATACATCGTTACCGTCATGCATATGAACTGTGTATTTAATGGTGATCTGTGAAAAACATGCTGTTCCTTAACTTTTGGAGGGCAGTGTAGTTATCAGCTTAGATTTAAAACTTAAATACGCATTACAAAGAAAATTTAATCAAACCTTACTTTAAATATAACCTGAAACAATAGTTTCACTAGTAATAACTATAACTTTAGTTTTATTACAGAGATTAAGAAGTCACGTAATAATCTCAATGCTTTGGAATGAAAACATAACGCAATACAATTATCTTTGTGGCTAACATATAAATTTAATCACACAAAATTATGGAATAAGTTATAACGATTCTTTTTTAAATCACATATAAAATAAAATAATAAAATATAAATCTGGAACTTTCAAATTTTACATTACGCCCAAAGGGGCGTTTTTTTAACGTTTTGTGTGTTACTTTTATTTATTAAATATCATGTTCTTCGCACTTAAACCATAAAATTCCATTCAACAGTAATATCGCCAAATAATTTTTAAATGAGCATATCTTTATAATTTCCGACACACAGTATTCCGACGACAATTCCGCACAATGTTGCAAATGCTGGCTTTGAAATCGTGTAGTTTTTTCTTTTTTCTTTTTTGTTTTTGTTAAAGTGTTACAAAACACGAAATTGATAATAAAACAAATTCCAAATTAGATCTTCCAGATTCGGGTGAAGACGTACCTTACTCAAACTTTGATGGGTTCTAGGTACCGTTGTTTCACCACAATGCGAGAAACATACATACATTTATGCAGATTGTTCATTGTTTAATTTCTTTAATAATAATAGAGGGCTCTAATATTTGGTGGCAACAATTTAAAAAGTGATTCCCCGTTAATAGTGAATCAATGCAAAATGTCAAAACGAATTTAATAGTCCTCCTGCTCAAATTGCCCCTTTTTACTAAAACTTCATTGAAAATATGCGAAGAATAATCATAATTCAGAAAATTTATTAATATGATAATTTGACTTCCAAAACTGATTTTATTTTACATGATAAATATTTTTAAATGATTTTTCAATTTTGAAAACTAAATTTATTAAATGCAAGCTCAAAAGTTTAACTTTGTGGATAAGTTAAAAACAGTCATTTACATTTTTATAAGTGATATCTCCTATGATCACTAACGAGGGAAAAAATTGTATTTTAACTAAAACCTTTATTTTTTCTGAAATATTTTGTATTTATCTATAATTTTTGGATTACAGTTTTACACAAAATTAACAGTATTTATAATTTAGGCTTTTGCGTTTTCTTACATTGTTTGAGGAAATGTATTGCAATAGTTTAGAGCATAAAAGGAATATATTTACTCATATATTCCTTATTACATCAAAATTATATTAAAACTACTTACCCCTCATGTCATTCCTTTTCAGAACTTGTTTGTCATCTCTTATCCACGAATCGACAGTAACGTACTCGCGCACGAAACTTGGCAACTGACACTGAAGTACTGCCGTGTTACCTCGAACAACAAAGTTGTCGTATACTTGAGGTTCGAACCTTTGTTTGATGACTAAAAGAAGAAAAAGAAAATATTTATATAATAAATAATTGTTAACATTAATTCAGAAACAACATACTATTGGAAAACATCATTTTCTAGATAACTCCTAAACATTTGGATGATTCGTTACATCATGTACTCCAGAATTTTTCCCGAAATATACCTTAATAAAGACGTCATAAATATTAGGACATTATGCAGCTACATCAGAAATAATCTATTTAAAGCAACACTTTTGGAAATGTAGTAAGACGTTTCTGATTCATATTAAAAAAAAAAAAAAAAAAAAAAAAAAAAACGAAAAGCATGTTTCATTAAGTTTTTTAAGCAGAGGGTGTCAACCGCATCTTACTCTTATTTTCCCTCGCCAGTTCTGCTTAAAGTTATATTCCGGATTTACTGTTTTGCTATACAATGTTTTGAAATACGCTCCTGCAAAATTCCGAGCCAGCTCAAGTAATCTATTTTATGTGGCTTACTTACATTTGAATGTAAGTAAGTCTATCTTATTTAGATTTGAATTTAACTTTCTGGGTATGTAGATTAAAATACCTATAAATAGTGAAAGTTTCTTCTGTAGCACCGAACTTCTAATGAACAAACTGTCCTTGTTCTGTTCAATTTAAGTTAAATTAAAAGGTTATTTTAATCTTCTTCAGTAATTTGTATCCTTCTTCAGTAATTTCCAACTCGCTGTCTTGTAGAGTACACTGGACATTTTTACAAGCGTTTAGTTACAGTAGAACCTTAATTTGAAGCGCAACTTTGTCACGAACTATGTCCCAAGACAACACCACTTTTAGCCTGCCCCCTCTCCAAGACTACTACGGCATCAAGACACTATGTGTACATCAGTGAAACAATTGAGCAATTTCGACAGTAACAGTTCGATGCTATCACTGTTAGAAAGCTTCGATAACCGTTTTTTAATATATCCTGTTGGAGAGTTGCAAAAGTTGGACTTAGCGGTGATAGCTATCAGTTTAATAGGATTTGCAGAACTTCAATACAAGCTTCTAGTTACAGTAGAACTCTACAAATCTTTTACTAAGAAAAATCTAAAACATATTCATTTTTGGTTTTTTAAGGTAAAAAGGAAAGTATACTTTTTAAATGCCTTATTAAAAATATTTAAGAAATTTTTGGAACTTATTAGAGAAACAAAATTACTTAAGAATTTATAATAAAGATTCTTGTTTTCCGAAATGTGTAAATAATATTTATTCTTGTTATTTTAATGGCAAAATTAATTTTGTTTGCTAACGTTACAGTTCTCACTTCTATTATAATCGTAACAGAAGCGAACATTAATTAGTAATAATTTTAGCATTATGATTTATTTTTAAAAAATCAATGCATAAATTTAAATTTTTGTATTTCTAAATCATTTTGCGACTGTTAAAAAAACTGCAAAATAATAATCCAAATGTGAAAAAGAAAGTAAATGTTCATACTGTTACGAATTTTGTAAATATGTAGCTAGTTTTAGGGAAATTATATATAAAATTGTAGTTTTTATTTGATGTGTGTGCGTGTGTGTGTGTATAATGTAGCATCAAAATCTAAAGAGACCATGCTGTGCCAGAAAAATAAGAATACAGGGACAAGCTAATTAACACTGAATAAATGGTTATCTCATTAAATTAGCAAGATATCTCCAAGGTGGCGACGGTTTTGGCGACTAATTCTATCGCAAAACTTGGTGACCATTTGACGACATTTGGGTCCGTTTCCTGTTTAACAGTGTCGGGTATCACAATTGAATAACTGTAATTCATCTACATATGCAACTGTAACCGTATCCGTACTTGAGATGTAATTACAACCGTATATGCTTTCCAGTAGTTTCTAGATACAGAATTTACTAGGAATGGGGAAAGAGCAGAATCACCACAGCTTGGGGCGTTTTTAAGAATTGCATATATTCGGTATCCATGTACACATCGACCCATTTTCACTTTAAAAAATCCCACAAAAAAATTGCACAAAAAATTGCACAAAAATAGCATTGTACACTCCCTTGATTTTATTCATGTACACATCGACATATTTTCACTTAAAAAGTCAAAGAAAATTGACAAAAATTCAATTCTTCTTACTCTTGTAAAAAGCGCCAAACAAATAAGTGGGTGATTCTGCACTTGAACCCTGGGGATTTCTCAGCGCCGGGTGAAAACTTTGTAAGACCGAAGACAGCATCTGCTGTCAGTTCTTATTAGTTCAGAGCTTAATTCAAAGTATGAGATATCCGAGGCAGCTTCGTCTTTTAAATGCCCTTTAACGTTAGCGAACGTTCGCTTTAATGATGTTGTCTTAAACGTTGTCTTTGAAGTAATTACTGACTATACTTTGTGATACTTGTAACAGCTGTACGAAATTTTTGTAGAAAGTTCCAGAACTATGAAATGTTTCCTACCGGACAAAAATACTGCCAAACGTACTCCAAGTTTGGCTGCTTTTGGCGAAATTGTAGAGACATTAGGTTACTTCGAAGCAGGAGAGATGAAAAATCAACAATGTCTTCGCCAGGAATCGAGCTGCGGACCTCTGGAATACCGGCTCAGTGTGCAGACCACCACACGACGAAGGCACGCCAAGAAGGTAGGAGAAATACCTTACAAAATTAGTCGCCAGCTTAGCGATATCTCGCCAATTTAGCGAGATAGCCATTTCCTCAATGTTAAATAGACTTGCTCCTTCATTCTTATTTTTCCGGTAGATCATCGTCTTATATTTTGATGTTACGTTACACACACACACACAAATAATAATAATAAAAAAAAAAAACACTAAAATTTCAACTATAATTTCACTTAAATTATATGCATATGTACATAATTCGTAACAATATATATTTTAGCATGTATATAATATAAATAATAAAAGTTCGCCATGTTGCCATTAATCACCGAACACAGACTGAAACATAAATTGCGTCACTTGTACGTCATTCGGTATGCATCCCGATCAAATGAAGTGACTGTGAAATGGCATATGACCATATACTACATGCCAATTAGTGGTGGCGAATGAACACACACCGCAAACTGAGTGAAGACTACCATTGCGAGGCACCGAATAATATTGAAATCGAAAAATGAGGGTATTATAAAAGTACAGTCCCTATCTAGGAGAGCCAAAATATTTAACAGATTGAATCGTCGATACAAGTGACGGATAATGAAGTAAAACTGGCATGCTTGTTTTCGGAACTTAAACTCACAGCACCAAATTTAGAGCATAATTGCATTCGTTTTTTATAATTTCTGAAATAGTTTTCCAAGTATATGAAAAGCAGTCATTAATACCCTTAGTCATGCCATTTACAAAAGCTTTATCGTTAGAAACAATTCATAAACGCAACTAGCAATTACTTAAAAAATTCAATTTTAGATAATTAAAAATAAAATATTCTCCATTCTTATTTATTTAAAATTTTAATTTCAATAAAAGTGAACTAACAAAATATTTATATTATAAAAAAGTGTTTTCTCCTTCCATTAGTGAACAGAAAAATTGTAATATCTCTATCTGCAAAGCTCTGTGCCTTTATAAACAGCTGTTTTAAACAGCAATCTGATGCCGAAAAAGAAAATATGTGTTTTTAATAATAGTATTATTCCACTTGAGAATAAAAGTAGTTTTTAGTAAGAAGATAAACTGAACTTTTTATAAACCCTAACAAAACATTTACTTAAAAAGTGTAAATACATTTAATTTAAAAAAAAAGTTTGATATAATGGAGTCATATATATTCTTATTTATATATTTAATCCTGTACATTTCATAGAATATGCAGTGCATTTTTAAACTGTTATTCGATCGAAGAGTATAGATATTCCATGGTACTGAGAAGCATGGAGTGTAACTAACACTCCTATTGTAATGTTACTGATCTTGACTTTAATATTTTTCCTATTCTTGTTTATGTATTCCTCTTTTCATTCCCTAAAACATATTCTTAGACAACATCTCAGGCATGAATCAAAACACATTTGTTTACACTTCGTGGTTTCTCTTTGCATAAACGATTTCTTGACTTACAAAATGAAACATTTGAGTTTGTACTCGAAGAACTCAAATTCTGAACTTTTGTTGCATTCGTGAAGAGTTCGTCATTTCACCATATTTTCTACATCGACAAAATAAATGTAGTTTCTAGTAACATGCATGACGTCTTCGAAAAATGCAAAACTGAAGAGATTTCCTGTGAAGGAAATGTTCTCTTGAAGCATAAGCTGAGAAAGATTGCTTGAAGTATGAGAACATATTTTTATCGAAATTCTCTCTTTTCCTATTACTCTAACATCAGAGAATATGCAAGCTAATTCGTAATGAATGCACATCTAATTATATGCATTTTTGAAATGGACGTTTAGAAAATTAGAAATGGACGTTTGTAAGGCCAAAAAGAGTACTTTCACTGCTTATGAATCTGGGGAAATAATAAAACTTATGCAATTGGCTTCAAATAAATTTCAGTGTTCAATAACAAATTAAGAACAAATATTTATGAAAGAGGTTTCTATTAAAAATATACTTTTTACTTAAAAATTGTGTTACTTAAAATAATTATTGGATTAAAAATCAATTTATCATGTAGTTAAATGGAACACGTATTTAGTTAATACTTTTACCAAAATTCATCTAGTATTTAATATAATAAATACTAAAAGCCCTAGATAGAAACGCCCTAAACAATAATACGAGTGGAAGGTCCTCTCGAGTGAATGGTGGTTGGGGAAAAGGGACGGGAGACCCTCATCACCCTGGGTATGTCGTCTGCCCTTCAAAGTAAGAAAAAACCTCGTTCGTTGTTAGTTTACAACGTACGATGTACTGAAGTAAGTTTATCATAGCTTTTAAGAGTTATTCTGGCCTAATTTATTATTTTTTAAATACGACAATTTCATTTAATTGAATATTTTTGTAAATACAGTGTATTCTCTTTTTTGTTAACATTGGCATTTTCATGTTTTATTTACACATTTTTACATTTTTTATCACAT